TGGTCATGTTTTTTGGTGAAGCGGAGACTCTTGAAGAGGGTCTTTAGCTGTCTGTATCGTCCATGTATATGTATATGTTTTCCTCGTTTTCTGAGTCCGACATTTTGTGCGTGTGCGTGCGTGCGTGTGTGTGTGTGTGTGCGTGTGTATGAGGGTGTGTACGTGTTAGTCGTGTGGGGTTGCCCCCTTACGGGGGCGTACGTGTCTTTTGGTGTATTTGTCTGTCTGGTATATTGTTTGTCGGGGGTCCCAATTTTAAAGAAATGTATTCTAAAGTAATGCAAATAACTGATAAATAAGTAAAAAAGTAACAAAGATGCTGACGGCCTCTATGCTTAAGCCGGGGATTAGGTCGGTGATTAAAAGGAAAGAAAGGGATTCTTTCCAGGTAGCCTTAATACAGGCAGGTAGATCTTGCTCGTTGCAATGCACTTCACCTCACAAACAAACAGGTCTACTCAGCTCGGCTGTTCGCTCTTAACTGGACCCATGTCGATGTTACAAATACTTCAGGTCATAGTTCACGACGATGGAACAAATCAATTTACATCAATAATACATGACAGTGTTCATTTTACAATCATTACAAGGTAATGAGAAAATAATCTATTATTAAGTTTGTACAAATTAATTAAATGTTATAACTACATATAGACATTAGACAAGATGACAACATTTTTATTATATACATTATAAAAAAAAACAAGAAATCTACATTTTATTTAATATGTAAATGAGAATATAAATTTTTACAAGAAACGTTATTATTCACGTAGAAATAATAAACGGAATTCGATATATACAGGGTCTAGCAAAATTTATTCATCATTTTAAACATCTTATAAAAATGATTTACTCTGTCACAGCACAATACATTTTAAAAAACACTTAAGAATGAGTTTTAGGAACTAAAAATGGTGCGCCATAAATAATCGTGTCAAAAATACGTAGGTACGGTACCTAAGGTACCCCCAGAAATAGTGCAAAATCAATGTTTATTTACATGAATATATATTTTTTTAAATCCCCATAAACATAAAACAGAAACAAAAATATCAATAAATGAATTTAATTTCACATATTTTTACATAAGATATGTGATGTATTGTTCAATGACTATGATGTACTTAATACAATTCCACCTAATATTAACCTGTGGAATGTAATTGAAAAGAATATTTGCACAAATTTTAATAATTTTATACATTACTTTTTTGTTTTGTTATTCTCATGCTCTTCACAAGACACATAACCAATATCTTCCTATTTCTAATTTCTTTATAATTTCCTGCCTGATACCATAACCATAGGATATTATAACTCAGTAACATATGAGAAATAATATTAGCTCTGTCTGAATGCTCTATGAAATGAAGATGGATGCATTAAGTGACGTTCACCCTTTAGGTATTCTCGAGTTCCTATTAGGATATTTTGGTGATCATCACCTAATGTCTCCATTTTCTGACGACAGTATTTGCAATTTGCGATAAAAAAATTTTTGCAACATTTCCAGCAATATAAGGTATGGCAAAATCAAACGGATGATTGCAAATATGGACTTCAGGTGTTGTATAATTTGATGGTGGTGGTACATGCAAATGCTCAACAAGTGCTGACACACTGTCAACCTGGACAAACATTTTTAAATTGTCTAGAACACCGATAGATTCATCCGGTTTAGAATTAGAACCAACAGAATGTGATGACACAAATCCATTTATAAGAGCTTTTTAGAAGAAATGAAAGAAGAAGAGTTAGGTTTGATATATCTTACACCATGGATTGCAACACAGCAGTCCAAAAGGAAACATGTTTCTTGCCTGTGAAAACTGTTAATTGACTTCCATTGAAACTATCGAATAGTTCATCTAGAAATAAAAAAATGATCTGGATCTTAATAGTGGACCGAGGAAGGATTCAATTCTATGCCTGTCACAGCGTTTGTTTTCATTGCTGTAGCCACAGTTCTGAAACTTTGGGTATGATGTTTTACCTTCATTTTTTTTTATCCTTTCTGGTAACACATGTTCGTCTGTTAGTTTATGTATCATAGAGAAACAACCCATTTCCTTATTAGTATTATGCAACTGCATTAGATGGTTCGAAGAATCCACTTAGACGAAGTCCCTTCAGATGTGGTATCATACAAATATACAATCTCTGCTCCATCAATCAGATAACCTTGGTATCTATTGTCCACACCATCTCGTAAAGTTTGGGTGCCTTTCATTAAACATTGTATGGCAGCTACAATTGCTATAATATATAAACCTGTTTGAGAAACGTTTCTTATAACAGATTTTATCAAATTTACCAAATCAGCAGTATGTGTAGACTTCACAAAAAGTAAATCAAACTAGTTGTTTCCACTTTTTACGAATTTTAAAAGGAAAACTAATGAATGATCAGCAAATTTAGCTCTCGTATCACCTCCATTTAAATCTACAAATCCCTCCACAAAGTTAATTTTGAAGTTATACTAAAGCCCAAGTTGTAATGCAACTTCATGAAACATAAATACACAGTTTTTATCTAAAAGTTTCAGTTTATTAAAGTTTTACAGGAGGGCAAACTAAAAATTATGGACAGAAATCGGTAGCCTCTTCCACTTTATTTGTATATCGACAAAGCCAGAATCTTATCAAGTGTGTACCTCCTGCCATGTGGCTTTAGCTTCTGATACTGTGACTGATTTGTGGGTTTTCAGGAGTCGGGTTATTTTTATCAAAAAAGAGCATGTTCAGTGACCAATTATGGAGACATGCACGCGTGGAGGTGTGTTGGAGTGAAAGAGTACTATATATATATTCCCCTTTTCTGTGTTCAAAACGAGATTCAAAAATGAAGATTCCGGTCTTCCACACCACCTAATGAGGTTCTGAATGAGGCGCATTAGCTTTTTTATAGTGGTTCTTCGCTATACTCCACTGATGTTCCACAAACCATTCCATCTCAACTCCTTCGATTTCAACGTGATTATTGGCATTTGCTCTGGCATCGCGGACGCGATCTAATAGTACTGTACGCGTGGGCACGGAAAAAAATGTTTGAATCTCGTTTTGAACACAGGAAAGTAAGTAGTAAGTATATAGTACTTTTTCACTCCAACACACCTTGACGCATGCATGTCTCCGTAATCGGTCACTGAACACTCTTTTTTGATAAAAATAACCCAACTCCTGAAAACCGGTGCCGACCTTGTATGCGCCGTAGCGCAAAATCCTGATGGTAGATTTTTTTGTGCCCATTAGCTTTTTTGTTCGGGATGTTGAGAACTACCTTTTCCACCAAAAATTAGAGCTCCCGACTGAAACCACTTTTCCATATAAAAAGTGTGGAGTCCTTTCTATGGCCAGAACTATTTGCATACTTAAACCGCTTATTCTGAATTTTATTGAACATTATTGCTAATCTTTTTTTACACAGCTGGCCAATATTGGAGAATTTCTGCAGACTGAAATGATGCACCGCTTGCTGTGAGCATCTTATGATTTTGGGTCATAGTCCAGACGGTATCTGTTTCAGAGTCCATATTTGGATGAATTGTATATCCACGGAGATTTTTGGCTTTTTGGCTTTCACTAGAAATGAAAATTTTTCTATGCGCATAAAAAAAATGTGGGCGTAACTTTTGGCGGCACAAAATGTTAAAAAAATTCGAAAAATGTCATATTTTTCTTCCTATTTAATTATGTAGTTGATTTTAGGCGAAAATGGAACAGGAAAAAATGTTTGTAAAATCGAATTAATCACAATTATTGTAAAAATCAAAAAAATCGCCAAAAATGGGGTTAAAAAACATTACTTTTTAGGGAATTTTTTTGGGTCTTTAAGTTGGGTATAGAACCGTCATACTTGGCTCAAGAAAAGTTCATGTTACATAGAATCATCACAAAAAATTTCACCAAAATCGATTGTAGATTTTGCGTAATAATTTTGCAATCCAGATTTTGAAAAAAAATTGCAAATTTTCAAAATTTTGCACAGCAAAAACCAAGACCCTTAGATACTTGAAAATTTAATTACATATAGAAGGCCTCTCAAGCTAACAAACGGTTTTTGAAAAATTCGAATCCGTCAATTAGGAGAGCTCTGGCGCTTGTTTAAACTTTGGTCGAATGATTCATTCGATTTATAACTAGTCCTATTTTGTAAAATTTAATTAGAAACATTTTTTCCTCTTCCATTTTCGCCTAAAATCAATTCTTAGAAAGATACATAATTAAATAGGAAGAATATTAAGACATTTTTCGAATTTTTTTAACAACAAAAGTTAAGCCCACGTTTTTTTTTATGCGCATAGAAAAATTTTCATTTTTAGTCATATTTGAAAGCCAAAAGGCCAAAAATCTCCATGGATATACGATTCACCCAAACCAAAACAGATACCGCCTAGTCTATCATTTGAATCAACTGGTTTATATAACCCAATGTTCCCAATAGTTTATATATCGACTCGGAACTGCAAGAGGTCCACGTCAGCAAAAACAAAAATTGGGGGTGCTTGAGTTGTAAATCGGGGTCCATGAGAATGGAACCCATTTAGGTAGGTCGAGACCAAAATTCTGCCTTCCATAATTGGAATAATTCACATAACAGAGATAGTACCTACATAATATGTACTTACATAATACTTTCTTATAATAGGCATAAATGAAGAAAAATGTTTATATGAAACATGAAGATTTGTAGTTAGATTTGGAGAACTTTACGAGTCCATACCTTAATCATGGGAAAAGTCGAGATCGATGATGGGATCATTCTCCATCGACGGATCAAACCAATAACTTCATTGCTTTGAATTTTAATTAATGTTAATTGTTAGAATATTCTCTTGAATTCGACGTATTTCATTTTACTTATAAAATTATTGTTATACTTTTGTTAATGAAATTTCGTTATTGAAAAGTCATTATTTTCTTATATATCTGCTGAAGAATTATTATAAATTTAATAGTAAACAATTAAAAATATTAAATTTTACCATACAGATTTATTTGAAGATATTGAAAATAGAACTTAAAATATGTATTATTATAAAAGAAAATGCTTAGTGAATACAGTTCACTGAAAAAACAACGAAACAACTTATTTTAGACATACTAAAAGTCAGATTGTGCAATTATTTTTTGCACGTGTAAATTTATTTAACAAACGCTTATTGTTTAATATTTTGTGTCAAAACTTATACGTAAAAAAAAAACTACATATTTAAAATATACTCTATATACTAATTCGATTCTTCTGGTGTGTGCCAAGCTATTCTTTCCTCGTAGAACTTAATAACTACTTGCGGACATTTTATATTGGCTTCTTTTGCATAAACCAGGTCAGTGTCATCACTGCCTTTCCACTTCATTAGAAACATTAACTGACCAGTGGTGTCAGAGGCACCTATAATTTTCTCAGCCTCTAATCCCTTTTCAAAGGCAGATTTCTCTTTTTCTTTAATTTTACCTCCCTTTCTATCTTTCTTTATATCAACCACAGCTTCAGTTTTCTTTTTATCTTTTTTGGAAGTTTCCTCCTCATCTTCTGAATCGCCTTTTTTCTTATGCTTTTCATCATCATCAGAATCTTTTGACTTTTTCTTCCCTTTTTTTTCTTCAGTATCTACCTTCTTCTTTTTAGGTTTTTCATCCTCATCATCAGAATTATCAGATTCAACTTTTTTTGATTTTGGTGCCGATCTTTTTTTTCGTTTAGGCTTTTCTTCCTCTGAATCTGAATCATCTTTCTTTTTGTCTGTTTTCAAATCATCATCTGAATCGACATCAACACGCGACTTCTTTGATTTAGGCTCATCCTCTGGTTCTGGAGATGGTGAGTGACCCTTTGATTTTTTCTAAAAAAAAAAAAAGTTGAAAATATTTCTTTTAGTTAATAGAAGAAACGGCAAAATATTTATTTAGTATACATCTTAAAAACTGTTTTTTTTATCTACATGATGTATTAGTATATTATACAAGGTGTAACTTTAAGTGAGGGTCAGTTTTCTACAGGTATGAGGGTCATTCAAATATAAATGTGAATTTTTTTTATTATTGATAAAATTAAGTTCACAAAAAATTTCTGTTTCTACATAAACACTTTCCTTTGAAACACATTTTTCCCACCTGATTGGAAGCTCTTTGATTCCATCACTGTAGAAAGAAGGATCGCGGGTCGTTAGCTAGTTGCGCACAAACGCCTTCACCTCTGCATCACCAGAGAAACGCTGCTCTCCCAAAGCCTCTTTCAATGGCCCGAACATGTGATAATGACATGGGGACAGATCCGAACTGTAGGGTGGGTGTTCCGAGAGTTTTCCAGAACATTGCCCTCTATCTGACGTGTTTGGTTTGCCGTATGGAGGCGAGCATTATCGTGGAGCAAAATGACTTCCCTCATGGGTTGGCGGCATCTTTTGCTTCGATAAGCGACCCTAACCTGCTCAAAAAGTGTGCCGTAGTAACTAGCATTATTTGTTCTCTACTCATGTAGAAAATCCAGCAGAAGAATTCCTTTCGAGTCCCAAAAAACTGTAGCAAGAATACCCGCTGACGATCGTGTTCTGGCCTTGACTGGAGCGGCCTCTCCTTTCTTTCGCCATTCTATGCTCCCTTGCTTACTTTTGGGAGTATAATGGTGGACCCAAGTCTCATCACAGATCACTATACAGTCCAGAATAGCGTCCCCTTCAGTGCAGTACCATTGCAAATGCCATTGGCAGATGTCAAGACGGACATTCTTCTGTTCCTCCGAAAAAAGGAGGGCACCCTACAAGCCGACACTTTTGACAAACCAAGCTCATCACACTGATCTTCATTTCACATGTGATTTATGCGACTGTGAGGCGACAGTCGTTCTCCAGAAGGTCATAAACTGCTTGAATGCGTCCATCATTTCATTTTCCCTCTCTCGTCCTTAAGAGGAGACTTTGTTACAAAAAAAAACACAGGGGGTTGTGAGTGTTTTCATCGAACTACTGTCACAATCTCTGCAAATTTTCAGCAGGGTAGACCCCCTGTCAAAAATGTTATGATAATCCGTTGCGCAACAGATGGGCGTACTTCCTTCTCACTCATCTTTGCCACAACTTGGCTAACGGTCTTAGGGCCATTTCGACTACGATCCCCCACTCATCCTATCCCTACCAACATTCCCTGTCGATACCTGAGACGATTGGTGCCTTTCAAGGCATCCACCTCGACATTCTCGTTTCTATTTGAATCACCCTCGTAATACTAGTAGTACATGTTTCCCAGACCATCAATCTGAAGTTCTTTTTTTAAAATCCAATAGTCGTTATTATTCGTTTTTTAACTGCACTTAAATTACTGTTGCTACCCGAAAGTAGTTTAGTAAGTTGTATTAGTGCACATATCAGATATTACCTTTTTAAATCAACTTTAAGAGAGCGAAACTACAACAGAAAATAATTTAGTAAAAACAAACCGCTTTTACATGATTTAGCAATGTGTTATTTTAAAGTTACTGTATTTGGTTGTTGTCAATATAGACGAAGCACAGAACATTAAAAAAAATAAAAATTTAAATGAAAATTTTGGCATAACTAATATTGGTATGTAAACATGTTGCTAATTGCAAGTAAAACTAATTTATTTTAAAATTATTTTTGCTATTTTAAAAAATGTAACTAATGGAAAACAAACAAAAATCATTTTAAGTTTTTTAAATAAATTGTTATTAATTTTTTAAAGTGTACAGAATATGGTGTGAAATCTGGTTCTGTATGAAAGCATGACCAATAATTTCACAGTAGCATGTACTTGCTCATTGTTAAAACGATTGAAATATGATTTTATATGACAAGTAATGATAAACGAGTAAAAAACAAACTGTCGAAGTTAATTTGGCGAAACAAGAATGGTCGAATATGTCAGCACCTATTCATTTTGTTAGTTATTTTATTATTCAGTTTACGAGAAGGTGATTGTAGTATGGGGGGCAATTCCACGACTTTTTATGAGAAGTAATAGTTTTTCTGGAATTGAAATAGAATTTGTATAGTACACTGTAAAAATCAGATTACGTACTTATTTTTGTGTATTTTTTGCATCATTTATCATTATTTATTTATTACTGTTTGAGTTTTCTAATAATTTGTTAAGTACTGTTTCATAGTTTATCAAAGTATTCAATTTTTGTTTATGGAGATGAGGCTCCTGACAAACACCCACTTAATAAAAGTAACGCTCCAAAGAGCAATACCTCACGGCAGATGGTCTGGAAATTTGCTTTCTACTAAAATTTCTTACCTTCCTTTCAAATTATGTTACACCTTGTATACCAAAGTGCATTTTTTATAATGGTTTGACATAATGTCTAGATACCATATTATAATACACTCCAATAGCTTTGTTAGAAGGTTTCAAAGTGACACATTATTCAAAGTAACACATTACATCCTGACATTAGCAAAAATAGTAGAAACCGTATTTGTACAAAACTATTTTTAATTTCACTGGTAACTTGCGCCTATACACGATGTCAGTAAGTCTTACAGGTTACTAAAATGTGGTACCAAATGTTAGTAATTACCTAGTCTAAATATATATTTTTGGAATAGTTACAAAAGACTAGTGCTAATATTTAGTACTAAAATATATATTTACTCTAGGTAAGTACTAATATCCAGTACTAGATTCTAGTAACTTTTGTAACTTAATGGCATCATGTATATCCATCTTAAAAGTGAGCTATTCACATGGTGCCATTAGCTAGTTCACATACTTAACTAGAAAAATGTTCCTAATGTGGTCACGTGACAAGTCCATTTGTATTTTAAACTATATGTAAGACCTAAATAAGGTGTACTTTTAGAAAAATGCATCTTATCGTGTGCGCTAGAGGAATTAATTCACAGTTTAAAAGATAAATTAATAGATAATTCAAACAAAAGAATCCGCATAAGAGAATGGCTGAAAAGGAAAAACATTGACCATAATTTTTATTCTACATCTGCTATACACTAGAATCATTGTTAAATGGCAAGAAATCTACAACCCTAATAGCATCTCTGAAAGGTGAGACCTTAGAAGTTCTACAAACTTTAGCGAAAGTAGACATAATATTTATGACAACACTTAGAATTGAGATTTGGTTTACCAAGTACAGCTAAAAAGCAGGATCAAATGATCAAATGAGAGTTTACAACAGTATGTGGTCGATGTAAGCCATTTAATTCGCTTAGTGTATTCAACAGCACAATAGCTAGCAGTCCCAGTATTTATTGAAGGAGTTTGAGAGTGCAAAACAAAGCAAGCCCTATGATTAACCAGGTGTAAGATAATATCCAGGAGACATACCAGGATGAAGTAAATGATTCCCAGGGACCAAGATGACAGTGAACCAGTAAGCAGCAAATGTTCCAAATACAGTACAGAGTAAAATATTATTATTATTATTATTATTATTACTTATTGATCATAAATAGTAGCAGTATGGAAATGATGTTGGCCGAGATGAGAAGTCAACTAAGTGATGGACCTGTTAAAACTTTTACTCACCGAGAGGCACTTAAATGTTGGAATTATGGTGAGAAAGGGCGTGTTAAATTAAGGTCCAAAGACAAAAGGGCAGCCCCTGTTCGACAAGTGGTAGAGGAAGATCATGAAAACTAAAATCAGTCAAGTTTCAAACGGCAGAAACTGGTCTGGTACTATCAAGCCTATACCTACAAAAATTAGTTTCCCGGTTGCGTCCAAAGAACACAAGTTTAATAGTATATGGCAAAGTGTGTAGCCAGGATTGTCACACACACGATAATAGATTACTGATTCTCATCACTAATGTGAAGTCGAATATTCTTAGGCACTGCAAAATAAGACCGACGACCAAAAGGTTTCTACTGAAGTTTGTACTTTTGTGGCCAATATTGTTAATGACACGATATTGAGCTTAGGACTAATCTAAATCTACAAGGGTGTGTCATTATTATTGGGCAAGATGAATTAATAATGTCACCGCCATTATATCATGATCAAGTAGGAAGAGTAACTTTAACTGAAGATGTTTTACTCTCAGGTTTATCTGAATCTGCAGATGATGACGAAGTAAAGCCAATTGAACTCGATTTGGAAAATAAAAATTTCAATCAAAAAGGATTACTGGTAGCTTTAACACAGAAGCAAGATTTGACTTATGTTGATTTATAAATTTAAAAGCACAAGGTCTTAAGAAAAAATGTGGTGATTTTGGAAAATGTCAGTCTATATCATGTACCAAGTGTGAAGAAACCCTGACAAAATCCAGTCCTATACAAGGTGGAGTTCCTGCCAACCTGAAGATATTGGAAGAAGAAAAATCTTTTAAATCTCTATCTGAAGATGAAATGGGAAGAACAAAATCAACACACACACAGGGAGTTCACAGGTAGTGTTAGTCAATGTTCCCTCTAATTTTTTCGCTGACTGCGCAGTATAAAAGTATATGGGAGCAAAAATGTTGAAAACATATGTAATAGTGTACAAGCAGGGAGGGGGTGTTCTGTGCCTATGTTTGAAAATATTGAACCATTGTGTGCAAAATACAAAAATGGCTGTGCAATTTTTGAAACATTAGTGCCCGGCCGCGCCCCCGCCCAGCTTAGAGAGAACTTTGGTGTTAGTCACCAAGAGAAATGGTTCTACCAGATTTTGTATGAACTATAGAAAGGTAAATGGCATAACAAGAAAGACAGTTATCCTCTACCTAGAATGAACACTATAGACACCCTGGCAAGTACAAAATGTTTCTCTATGTTAGATCTCAAAAATTACTACTGGTAAGTAAAATCAATCCAAAGAACAAAGAAAATACTACTTTCTCTACTAGCACAGCTTTGTAGCAGTTCAATATCAT